TTAATGAGTTATTTAGCATAGTTAACAAAAACTAATTTCAAATAATTGAACATTTTTTAAAATATAATATAGTACTTACATTTATTATTCATTACTACTGAAAACCTTTTATCTTACATTCACTTAATCGAAGTATGCAGATGGTATATACCTTATAGAGAGATTTCATAACTTATTGTTAATATTTATTGTTATCAATGCTTATTTCAATTTAATAGTAAGTATAAATGCTATTAATTAATAAATTTGCTTAAATATTTTATTCTGGATTTACTAATTTTTTTCTCAAATTATTTAATAAAATAGGCAGCATGAAGCGCCACCCATTGCACTAGTAGAATTAATACTTGAGTATATTGTTCTATTATTTATAATCTTTGCCATCTATAAAAAACCTAATAAAAATTTTCTTTTAGACCAACTGCCAAAGCTTCAATTTCAGTTACATCAGCTCCTCTTTTAATGATTTTATCAATATTTAAACCAACAAATTTCTTACTTTTATTTAATCTTTAAAACAACCATAGTATCAAGTATACTACCTCTAAATACAGGAATAATCGCTTAAATTCAAATAGAGTTATAGCTTTTGAATATTGAAAAAAAGAAATTTTTTTGCTTTTTTAACATAGAAAAGTAATTGAAATTGAAATTTGAAAATTCAATACGAAGCTCTATAATGTTGTATCCTGACTAATATATTATATTGGTTTTACTATAGTAATTGACTTATTTTTTACTATTAGTTTTAATCATTCCTTTCATATCTCACATAACGGTAAATTTGCTTAAAACGTTCTTTCAGAGTCTGAGGAGGAATCACCAGAGTATCACGATTTCCACAATAGTAACAAATTGGATAATTTCCTGATTTACGACTTGAATAGTACAATATCTCAATTGGTGAGTCACAATTAATTTGTGTATGTACAAAAATTACCTCTTTTAAATAATGATCATCAGAAAAAATTGGTGCACCACATGAATATGAATATGCATCTAATGCCTGTTGATAATCACATAGTTCTTCATCAGTTAAAGATTTGTTACTGTATATACAA